ATGGGCGAAACCCGTCGGGAGGCGGAATATCGCGCGTCCCGCGGCGCTCCCGTCCCCTGGCGCCGCGTAACTTAGCAGGGATGTTCCATGGCAGCGCCCGTACCACGCCCCGCTGTTTCTGAGCGCGTCGGAGGGGTTTGAAATTCGACGGAGGGCGGGCGGACTGAAATTATCGGGTGGCGGACTTGTGGATCGGCAGAGGCGGCGCGTCGCGGTGATGGCGGCCTGCGTGCATTGGACGCGTTGCAGACGCGCACAGGCGTGCTACGAGCTTCGCGAGAGAGCTACGGTGCGTACCGCGTCGTCGTTGTTTTGTTTCCTTTCGTCGGAGGCTCAGGTCCGATACACAGACTCGCGGCCTTCACGCACGGGGTGGCGACGCGCGCGCAGCTTCTGTCACGAGCTCACGCAGTCTGCAACAAGCTCGTGCAGTCTCCTGCGCGCACGAGGCGTGAGGGGAGTCCTGGACCGTGGTGGCAGCCTGGGTCGACCTCGCCTTTGGGGACGAGTGACACCGCCCTTCGGTCCGCCGTACGAGACTCTGGCGAGGCCGCGGCGTGATCGAACGTTACGACAAACTTGCAGGCAAGCTCAGGAGTATACGAAACTCCGCGTCGCCACCCTGCGATGCGCTCCCGAGGCTGGCGCAGATACTGGGCACGGTCCGCTCTGTGGGATCTCGGATCTGGCATGTGGGGTCGTCTCGAGCCTCGCACCGGCGCGCGGGGCTTCGCAGCCATTCACGATGTGTCGCGGGGGTACGTTTGTGGGCAGTTCCGCATCTGGTAGGCGTCGGAACGCTCGCTTCTTGCCCGTCGACAGGTCCCGACACGGGCCCTCGCCTCCGCTTGCGGCGGGCAAGTCGTCGTGGTCGTCGCAATTCGGTACAGCTCGTGTGCAGGGCGACGGGAATGTCCCTCCTTGGACGGTTCCCCAGCGGATTTCCCGCACCCTGACGCCCTTGCACGGCTGAATACGAGGTGCCTGTAGTACATATCGTTGTCCTCGTCCGTTACAATATATTTGTGTGAAACACAGTGGCACGAGGTTTTTTCGCAATCGAATCATGGCGTTCCGAGGACACCCAAGCACGAGGCGAGCGTCGTTCCGCAGCTCCGAGCACGGAAACTACACTGGAAGATAGTACAATATGCAACTTCCGTGTGAGGTATACTAATGATTACCACTCAACACCGGCACAGAAAATTCGACGCGAACTCTCGCATACGACCCCAAGGCGGTGGCGAGTGGCCACAATGTTTACTAGGACTGGGAACGTACAAGTGCGGAGTACACTAGATTCGACGCTCAACAGCTCGGAGTACACCCGGCCGCTCGGCACTACATCCCGACACAAACGCGAGCGTGCGGGTGGATAAACGGAGGTGAGAAGGGTGGGAGAGACCGCACGGTGGGAGCGTACCTCGTCAAGACCACACCCGGGCCGAAACAGAAGCCCTCCCAACAAATGTGGGTCTGGCAGGGCTGTAGAGCCTGAGCGTCAGTGGAAGCAAGCGGGCGCGTCCCATAGATGACTGGAAGGGCCACGGCAAGCTCGATTTGCTGTGGGGACTAACATCACTCAGGAGATGATCTCGAATGAGGTCGGCTCGCCTGTCGGTCGCCCGAGAGACACGTACGATCTCCGGTCTCCAGGGCACCTTACGTGCGCTCGTTTCGCCTAGCTAGCAGGCTTGGGGCCAATGGCCTGCGGGGCGGGCTGATGAATAAGAAAATCAGGGTCTGGATGCGTCAACAGGAGACAGAGATACCAGCTCACCGGGAGAAAGTACCAGCCCATGATCGAATGAAGCGAGCCCTTCCCGCCCGCCGCAGACCGGCAGACCAGACCAGATAACTGTTGTGCTGGAACTCCGTGCGAGTAGGCAGTGCATTACCGCAGTATTCAACCTGCCGTGCACCAGAATTACGTCGCATGACGCGCTGTATCTCGTCGTTCCGTGGGGCTAATATGCATGACATCAATATTCTGCCCAGCTCCACGATATACAGACCGCGGAGGCCTTCTACGATCGTTCAGAGTGCGCACCGCATCATCAGTACGCTGATTCGCACCCGGCATTAGTCCGTCAATACTTCTGACACCCACCCACTGTGGCCATGTTTGCATCTGCAGGCAAAGGCGATACGCGCAAGGGATCTCGTAAGCTACCTCTCTTCCCCCGATTCTGGTGCGATCGCCCGTACGCAGGCCACCACGCGACGTTGCCGGAGATGTCGTCTCTTTGCAAGCGGTTGTGAGCAGGAACGGCGAGTGGGAACCGTTGCGTGTATCGCTAGAAGCATGTCGTAAGTATTCATCCAATAAATCGACCGGCATAACTCACAAGCCGTGCACACGGAGCGAAAACGTCGTTGCAAAAGTCCTCTTCGAAGTTCAAGATCGACCAGATTGAGATGGGTCGATCCGCGGCTGTGTGCAGGCCATAAAGACGTACACAATGATGGAGAACATATCAAACCTCGATAGTTACCTCTGTTTTGCACGTCGAACTGTCCCGTGTCCCGTGTCCGGCGTTTCAGTAAGATCCGGAGCGATTCGCGCCACACGCGGGCAGAGTCCGTGCCCTTCTTGTCGCTTCGAGACGTCGCTGTACTACCGCGTCAGAACATGTTACAAACAAATGCGAGGCCTCTTACGCCGATCTGTGCATGCGAACACCCGCGGGAGCTGCTTCGAGCCATGATCCTGCGCGGTAGACTCGTGAACTCCTAATTGCGGGACAGGCGAACAGCCTACCTAGTGCGGCGGTGACAGACGTGAAACTTCTTGGCACCAGGTCTGTTTGTTCCCTGGATACCTTGACGGCGCCGCAGGGTTTGAACGTGCCGGAGTGGTCCGAACCTTACAAATCACGCATGACGGCATGTGTTCCTACAGATTGAGATTGTGGCATCAGTGTTATTCCAAGGTGTAATGCCTGAGAAGAAGACGTACGCGTTTCGGCTAGTGCAAGGCCGCAGAACGTGCTCAAGGAGGCACAAAGCCACGGGACACTTGCGAGAGGTGGTGCCCTGATTGTAAAATCTCACCCGCACGACCATGTTCGGGAGGCACTCAGAGCCTTAGCTTGGCGGACTATGCGAATTGTTCAAGACCGAGCCAGACCATAACACAAACTGCGAGTTTGGAGCCGTCGCCGGTGCTTCGCAGAGCTCGGATGCGCCAGCGCCGCCCTGATGGTAACGACACTCTGTACAAATTGACAGTTTGACGATGTGGCAACCCGCCATACTCTCTGGAACATACGGTGTCCGAGGGAAGCGGGATCACATATCCTGCACATCTAAATAAAGCCGGTTAGGTAGGCTCATGGGCGGTTGGAACGCGAAAGATACGACACCAGATGATTGGTACCGGGACAGTGTCTGCCGCCGAAACGTGCATGGAGTGTTTCGTAATCTGCATGAGCGTAATACAGTGTCATTGTGCGGATTCTAAACAGAGAAACCGAAATTCAATGGCCGGCGTGAGGGAAGTCACCAATGAAGCATACGCACCATGAACTCGATCGTCTTCCCGTAGGTTTGAGCTACGGCGCGGGTTCCGAAACAATGGGGCATTCACGGCACGCAGGAGGCGCAGGCCTCAGACGGGGCGCAAAAACGTTCAGGATCGCGGTGGGTCGGATTATGATCGCGCAAACGAGTCGCGATGGCGGTGTGGGCGGCAGCCATGGATGTGGTGTGCCGCGAACACGGCGTGTGTTGTCGTACCAGCTACATCGCGTACGGCACAGCGATGTGAATGCAACTATCGCCCGGGGCGCGCAGAAGCGAGCGAATTGCTTTCGGGAAAAGGAAGCCGGTCAGCGTGGATCGGACAGATCGAAAAGAGCGCTCACTTTCGTCTGTCGCAACCCTGCCGCTCTTGTAATGGCTCCGCTGGCTGCGTCAGACCTCCGGCGCGTTCTAGGGCCTAGAAATGCGGTCATCTACTAGATGAAGTGCAGACACCCTCGTTATCTTCCAGACCTACTCACCATCTTTTGCTCTTGTCTCCTCCTTCGTTCCCTCCCGCCTGCGTGCGCCAACTCGTTTCCTAGTGGCCGCGCTCTCTTCCTGTGTTCTACCTGCGCGTGTGCCCCTCTGTGTACGCCGAATCGCTGGTACTGAGTAGGTGAGTGCTATCGTTATTCGTCAGTTTGGCCTTCACTGACATTCGCCCCTCTGGCCCCGCATGCAGCGTGCCCTTGCAGAGATCTTGTGTTATCCTGTGCCTTGATTCCGCTCGGGATCGCTCGACACCAGCCACTGCCTCCGAACTGCGACTGCCTATCGTAAGCAAGCCGTCGTAGTCGCGAGTGATGCGTTGCTCACCTCAGTCTTCTAGCAAAGCAGTATGACTTTCCGCCCGAAGCCCGCTTTCCGGAAACTTGGGGACACTGCCAGCGGCGGGTACGCCCGCAGGGAGATGCAGCTGCGCAGCGAGGTACGCCAAGGGCTGAAGGACAAACTCGGTGAGCACAATGTTCGTCCTCGAGGTGCGCCGCACTCGTGCTCACCTACGCACCAGTGGCGCGCGTCGGCCACGTGGATCCCGAAGTGTCGATGCGCTGGACCGTAAGCGGGCTCTGCGAAGACATATACCTCCGCCACCGCCTCAAACTCGTCGGATGGCCAGAGGGCATCGTCTTCGGCGACCTGAGCAAGGTGACCGGGCTGGCACGGATCTGGATACTCGTCCGGGCGCTGCGGAGCGGGGAGCTCACGTTCGAGCCGATCACGCAGGAGGAGTACGATGCCGCGAAGCGGAACCCTCTGCTCGCGGCGCCGACTCCCCTGCACAACGGCCTGAGGCTG